CCCACCCCTAGATACGACTACCAAAACCTTGCAGCTCAACTGCGAAAGCATAACGAAAAGGTAACGAGACCCAAACTGACAATATGCGGCTCTTTTTATGGTGAATGAGTCTATCTCACCAAATCAATGCTCCTAGGAAACTAAAGTGGCAAAATGGAAAAAACTAGATACGACTTGATCTTCATACAAAACTTCTAGTAAGTAGTAACCACTAGATCTTCATACAAAACAAGATCTTAACAGTAGAGACAAAAAGCGAATCCACACTAAGTAGAACATACAAATCGAATCCAGAAAGAACGAGAATAACCTAAAGTAGCAAAGAAGTCAAACAGAGGAGCGTGTAAAATCACAACCCATCCCAAGGTGGAAGCGGATCCAAACCGGAGATACACAATACAAGAAGACTGAAAAAGCAAAGCAAGCAAACAGTAGAAATAAATATATCGATGAACAAGGCTAATCAAAACCTCGAGCCCAAAAACGAGCACATAATCCAACCATAAGCCTATATCGAGCCCATACCTCAAACGCACCACATCCTTCAGCATGAATCATGGCGAGCTCAGATATGAACCACACCGTAAAGACCAAAAGACGACCAAGCCACACGATGGGAAGCTTATGTCCCTGGCGAAGGAATACAAGAACAGAGAAACAAAAAAAGAGCGAAACGAATCCAAAGCAGCAGCGTAGCTACCTACTCTTTTCTTCGACCCGAACCGGATTTTGACATAATTAACTATATATGATTTTTTTTTTGAAGTTTCTTCTCATAAATTAACTGATATGGAGATAGATGTTTTTAGGATGCAAATATCAACAGAAAAATATTAATATTTCTTAATACTAAAGGCGATTTTTTAAATAGAAAACTCAAAATATTACATTTATTGTTCATATTTATTTTCAGAAAATCATATTAATGCTACCAATTTAAATAAAAGAAAAATAAAGATGATAAATGCTTACCAATTATATTATTAAAAATTGAAAATGATTAAATTTTTTTGGTTCTAGCACATAATATTTTAATAAATTTTTAATATATTAAAAAGCTAGATCTTGGATGACTTGCACCATGTGTAGGTAAAAAAGTTTATAAAGAATAAGTTTACTATAGTATTTAGTAACTTTATTTTATTATTTATAAAATATAAATATGCATGATTGTTAGTTTTAAAATTTATATGCATATAGAAAATGAATATGCGTTAGATAATATTTTAGAATGCAATTTTGAAAATAAAGGA